ACCCCCCTAGACCTGACCCCCACCCCTGCCCCCTGTCCCGGGGTCCCACACACACTCGGAAAGCCTCGGGGCGCAGCCCGGCGCTGGGGATGCGGTTCCTGCTGGCGTCCAGCCGGACGAGGCTGCGGGGCAGCTCGGGCAGCGCCGTCAGGCGGTTCTCGGGCAGCAGCAGCTCCTGCAGGCTGGGCAGGAGCCGGAACGCGTCCGCATCCACCCACGAGATGGAATTGCTGCTCAGGTCGATGCGCTTCAGCTTCTCTGAGGGGAGCGGGAAAAGAGAGGCAAAGCCGGGCTGGGTTTCCTTGTTGGTCCCATGCCCCAATCCCACTCTTGTGACACCCCCATGCCCCCCAGTAATTGGTTTCTGATACTATTTCCCCCGCCCCAAAACCCCCATGAGCTTAACCTAAACTCTCAGAGCAGCCTCGGCTTTTGCTGTTTGAGCTCCGGGGCTGTGCACACGCACGGCTGAAATAAAGATTTCCATAAAACACCAGCAAAGGCCCTTCCTGCTTCTTTACCTGCTTCTCCTCAACCACCACCCCCAGCTACAACAGTTTATTCTCCTCATTCCCCATCCAAATCTTGTTTTATTCCTTAAAAGACCTTGTAGCAGTTGCCTCTGGGGCCATTTTCCCTCCTCCTAGCAAGGAGCTGGAAACGCTGTTGAACTCTCTGTACTTTCTGATCAGATATAATAAACAACCAAAAAAAGAGAAAAATCTGTTTCAACCGTGTTCCTCTTAACCCCGGCTCTGAGAAGAAGACAGATTGATTGACAAACCACTAATTAAGTGCTGCAAAGCCCCTGCACCTCTGCCCACACGTCCGGGTTGCCCAAACTCACCGAGGCCGGAGAAGTCGCCGGCCCGGACGGCGCCGATGCGGTTGAAGCGGGCGTAGAGGAACGCGGTGTCCGGGGGCAGCGCCGGGATCCGCTCCAGCTCGGCGTCATCGCAGTACACGGAGGAGCCGAGGCACAGGCACAGCAGGCAGCAGGGCAGGGCTGGGGTGGAGAGACAGCCTGGGCATGGAGAGCGCCCCTGACCCCGTAAAATATCCCAAAATGATGGGGTCTACCCACCCTGCTGTGGGGTTATGGAGCTGTGACACCCAGGGATGTAACAGCTCCCTCATCCCATAAATTATCCCAGAATGGTGGGATCTACCCACCCTGGGTTATGGATTTGTGACACCCAGAGATGTCACAGCCCTCTGACCCCATAAAATATCCCAAAATGGTGGGATCTACCCACCCTACTGTGGGGTTATGGAGCTGTGACACCCAGGGATGTAACAACTCCTTGATCCCATAAAATACCCCAGAACAGCAGGAGGAGCCAACCCTGATGTGGGGACGTGGATCTGTGACACACGGAGGTGTCACAGCCCCCTGACCCCATAAAATACCCCAGAACAGCACAGGGACATGCCCGCACTGTGGGGACACAAAGTCTATGGCACCAGAGCTGTCACAGCCCCCTGACCCCATAAAATACTCCACAACAGCAGCAGGATGTGCCCACCCTGCCCACACTCTGGGGACACGGGGTTGGTGACACCCAGAGCTGTCCCAGCCCCAGAAACTCCCACCCAAAAAAATCCTATTAATAAATCAAGAGCCCAAAGTCAAATCCTTCCTGCAGGAGGAGAAGGGGAGAGATTAAAGCTCCCAAATTCTGCTTTTTACACCCAAATCTCTCCTGGACCCCATAATTTTTCCACTGGAGGAATCAGAATTATTTTGGATCAAGAAAAATCTGTCCCACCTGCCCCAAAAATCAAGAAAAATCTGTCCTAGCTGCCCCAAAGACCCCAGCAGGAGGGGCAGGAGGGGTAAAACCGAGCCCACCCCCCACATCTGATTCCCCTCCTCTCCCCCAGCTCCATCCCGAGGTTCCCCATCCCTTCAGGGGGGCTTCAAAGCAGCTCAGCACCGATTTCCTTTCGCCTCCCACTTAATTTGTCCGGGTCTGGAGTGACAGAAAAGGAATAAAGATATTTATCCTCGCTCCAGGATTTTAATTGCCTCTAATCTAATTGCCACCGTCGCAAAGTCTCTGCTCATTAAAGCGTCGCTGCTTTGCTGGAGTTCATTTTTTTTTTTTCCCCAGGAATTTCTCTCTCTGCAGCTCTCCTGCTTCACTGTGTGAGCAGACTCAGCCCCAAAACCCTGCAAAGAGCTGCTGGCAGCACAAGAATTCCCCTTTTTTTTTTTTACCCCCTCCAAAAAAAAAAAAAAAATCTCCACCCCCGTGACGTGGGGACGAACACAACTCACCCTGGCCGGGGATGGGCGCTGGGGGCACAGCAGAACTCGGGGGCTGCAGTTTTGGGGTTCCAGCCGTGGTTTCACCCAGCTCCGGGAGGGTTTTGGGGTCCTTGGGGCGAGGAGCCAAGGTGCCGACCTCGATCTGCAAGCACAGGTGGGGGTGAGGGATTGTCACTTGTCACCTCTGGGGTGGGTGGCACCGGTCAGGGCACTGGGTTGGCGTCTTTAATTCCTTCTTGGAGAACTTTCCAGGATCTCCAGGGAACCCCCCAGGCCCTCCTTGAAGGGATGAAGGAATCCCTGAGGGATGAAGGAATTCCCGAGGGATGAAGGAATCTCTGAAGGGTGAAGGAATCTCTGAGGGATGAAGGAATCCCTGAGGGATGAAGGAATCCCTGAGGGATGAAGGAATCTCTGAGGGATGAAGGAATCCCTGAGGGATGAAGGAATCCCTGAGGGATGAAGGAATCCCCAAGAGATTAATGAATCCCCGAAGGATGAAGGAATTCCCGAGGGATGAAGGAATCCCTGAGGGATGAAGGAATCCTCACATCCAGGCTCTGGCAGGGGACAAAGAGCTGGCAGAGCTTTGGCTCCCTCAGCTCCGGGAGAGCTGCCAGGGCTGCTGCTGCCAGGGCTGCTCCTCCTGCGGTGCCACATCCATCCCTGGCACCAAATCCCTGTCCTGGGATGCACCCAGGGGCTCTCCTGTGTCCCCCCTGTCCCCTCTGACTCCCTGTGTCCCCCTCACCTTCGGGACAAGGTCCCCGTAGTCGTAGAGCTCCTCGTAGTTGCTCAGGTCCAGGATGTCCCCGTAGTTATCCAAGGTCAGGTCGTAATTGTCCAAATCCAGGTTTTCATAGAGGGTCGGGTCAGCCTTGGGCTTCTCCACTTTCCTCCTCTCCTTGGCTGGGACAGCCCAAAGTGTCCCCAGGCACAGGCTGGTCACAGCCAGCCAGCCCAGGGGACACATCCTGAGCCACGGCAATGGCCTGGAATGGCCACCAAGAGCTGGGTGTGATGCCTTGGGGTTCAGCTTTTGTGTTTTTCAGGCTCTCTGCTGCTCGGTGTGTAACTCTGAAACTCCACGTGAGGTGTTGGTAAAGTGTCAGTGAGTTCTGTTCACAGGGGAGTTGGACAAAACAATCCCTTCCCAAATGGAGAATCAAGGACACCCAGCACCCAAAAATCATAAAAAAAGTGCCCAAAGTGCTTTTATGATAAAGCACCCAAAAATCATAAATAACAGTGAGGGAAAGGGGGCAAGCCAGGGGCTGAGATTTCATAACCTGGAGCTGTAATTGAACAATTAACCCCGATATGTAAATGAACCAAAACTTTTAAAAATGTAAAAACTCCTGACCGGGATCCATCTTCAACCTGGGTGCAGCCCTGGCCGGGCTCTTGCACTGCCCAAGGTGGATCCTTCCAATAAATATCGATTTTAATCCTTTCAATAAATATCGATTTTATTCCTTTCAATAAATCCCGATTTTAGTCCTTTCAATAAATCCCGATTTTATTCTTTTCAATAAATCCCGATTTTATTCCTTTTGCTCTGCCTAGTCTCTGTTCCAGGTCAGATTTAGGCCGGGATGTGGCAGAGCCAGTCCCGGGGGGTTGGGGACATGCAGCCGCCAGCCCTGGGGACATTTGGTGACACATTTGGTGACCCTTTGCAGCCCATTTCACGCTCGGCTGTGCAGGAGAGGCCCCGCCGCCTCTTCCCGGCTTTCCCAGCCCCGGGGAGGTGATGAGGGGGTCAGGAAATGGGGAGGGGGTCGGGGTGGTCACTGGCCCAGCAGGGCAGGAGAACGAGCCCCAGGAGCTGCTGCTCCCACATCCAGGTCTAAATCCCGAGATTCTCCAACGTTCTGGGGGACCGGAGGCAGCAGGACCCGTGTGACACCCGGGGACACCCAAAATCCTGGCAGCTCCACATCCAAAGCCTCCATTCCCGCAGAATTCCCTCCCATGGCACAGAGCAGGGGGAGGGTCCCGTCCCCCTCCAGCCTCTCCCAACCCAAATCCCAAATCCCAAATCCCAAATCCCAAATCCCAAATCCCAAATCCCAAATCCCAAATCCATCAGCCAGCCCTGAGTTGTTCCACTCCTCCCTGAGGACGCTGCTCCCAAATTCCCGCTGTTTTCCCCCAGATCCGCCTTTTCCCAGTGCGCTGAGCCCCCCAACACCCCCCAAAATCCCAAACCCTCCCATCCCCGAGCTGCCCTAACCCAGGCTGGGGGTCTGGAGCCAAACGGAGCCGGCACGGACGTACCCCCTGTCCTTCCTCCTCCTCCTCCTCCTCCTCTGCTCGGCTGCAGGGCTGGGGGAGGCTGGGGAAGCGCTGCTGGGTTTTTGAGGCACGGAGAGGAGGAGGAAGAGGAGGAGGAAGAGGAGGAGGAGGAGGAGGAGGAGGAGGAGGGGGCTGCTCCGGGGGTCTGGCCGAGGGGACAGGCGGGATGCGACCAATCAAACCCTCGGTCCCCTGCTGGGACCTCACATTGTCCCCAGGGCCAGCCGGCCCCGGTGGTGGCTCTGCTCCAACAGGGGCTGAGAGGGGCGGGCTCGGAGCGCGGATCCCCCCCCTGGGGTCCCCATGGGGGTTGGGGACACGGCCCTGGGCAGGGGGACAAAGACAGCGCCACCCCTGGCACGGCCACACCCGGTGGTGCCACCAAAGAGGGACCCGGGGCTGTGTCCGGCCCCAGGGATGTCCCAAAACATCGGGGAGACCGGCCCGGGGTTTGGGGGGGCTGCAGAGACCCCCCTCAGGGACCCCCAGTGACCAGCCCGGGGTTTGGGGGGGCTGCAGAGACGCCCCCGGGGGTGGAAAGATGGGGACATTCAGCTGACTCAGCGCAATTCCCCTCCTGGGGGGGCTCAGCACCCCAAACCCTCACACTCTGGGGTGGTTTGGGGTTTTTTAAGGAGAGGGAGCCGTTGTGGGTGCAGGGGGGCTCAGTACCCCAAACCTTCACACTCTGGGGTGGTTTTGGGGTTTTTTTGGGGAGGGGAGCCGGTGAGTGCAGAGGGGGCTCAGCGCTGCTCCCCTCATCGCGGTAGGGTGGGAAACACCCCCCACCCCCGCCGTGTTCCCCCACCCCGGGGACAAAGCTCAGCTCGGGGGACCCTTTTGGGGGGCTGGGACACCCCAGGAGGGACAGGGCGAGCAGGGAAGCCCCCCCCCGAGCAGCCTCGTGCCCACCCACCCACCCACGGCCGCCAAAACGTTCCAGTCGCCAGCAGCGCATCTCCCCCCCACCCTCCCACCCCCCCGGATCACCCATCTGCTCGCGGGGACACCCCCGCAGCCCCCCCAGACCCCCGTGGGCACCGCAGCCGCCGTGTCCCCCCCTCGCCGGGACAGCCCCGGCCCCGCTCAGCACGGAGCGGCCGCTAATGTTCATTAAGCCGCTCATTAGGCGGCTCGGTGGGCACCGAGACGGAGGCGATGTGGCAGCTGAGGGGGTGTCAGAGCGGCTGGGGGGGGGGATGGCGGGGGTGGGGGGGGCTGGCCCAGGGTCCCCAGGGATGTGGGGTCCCCAGGGGTGAAGGGTCCTTGAGGGGTGAAGGGTCCCAAAGGGTAGTGGGGTTCCCAGGGATGAAGGATCCCAAAGGGATGAAGGATCCCAAAAAGGTGAAGGGCTCCCAGGGCAGTGAGATCCCCAGGGGGTGAAGGGTCCCAAAGGGCAGTGGGGTTCCCTGGGGTGAAGGGGTCCCCGGGGATGAAGAAGTCTCCGGGGATGAAGGGTCCTCAGGGGGTGAAGGGTCCCAAAGGGTAGTGGGGTTCCCTGGGGTCCCTGGGAGTGAAGGGTCCCCAGGACAGTGGGATCCCCTGGGCAGTTGGGTCCACGGAGCTGAAAAATCCCAAAAGGCAGCGGGGTCCTCAAGGGTGAAGGGTCCCCAGAGGGTGAAGGGGGTCCCAGGGATGAAGGATTCTCCGTGGATGAAGAGTTCCCAGAGGTGAAGGGGTCCCAAGGGGGTGAAGTGTCCCCAGGGCAATGGGGTGTTTGGGGTCTTTGCTTTTCCCATGAATGATGTCCTGTCCTTGTCCCCACAAGCAGCAGCCTCCCCTTGTCCCCCCTCAGCATTCCCTGCACCGTCGGTGTCACCTGGGCGGTCCCTGGGTCCCAAACGTCGCTGAGTGCCCAAAAGGGGCACTGAGAGCGGGAGGTCCCCGCTCAGCACCCACAAATGGGGTTGGGGGGTCACCACTGCAGGGGGGGATTGACTGGAGCCAGAATTCCCCCCGATCCCAATCCCTGAGGGTGACCCAGCACTGGGAACAGCAGCTGAGGAGCCCCCACCCCTCTAACCCCATTAATGAGGGGGGTCCCCGCGACCCCACAGCAGCAGCTTCCCACAACCCCAAACCCCACGGCGGCACCGAGGGGTGGCAGGGAGCAACTTTGGGGTGCTCAGCTCTCCCGGGGGATGGCTCTGACATCCCTAGGGAATGAAAACCCCCCCCCGGCAGTGGGGGATTCACGCTCTGGTTACGAAACTGCGGGATTTGGGAGGGGTGGGCGCGTTCCTGCGCCTGCTCCGCACACCACAAACACACGGAGAGGGGCTCAGCCCCTCCCGGGAGCGGCCCCCCGGCTCATCCCACATCCTCACACCTTCCCCCACAGCCGTCCTCCCCCTCGGGACGGATTCACGTGGGGAGAGCGGCTCTGGGAGCGGCAGCGCCTTGGGGGACGCGCACAAGGAGAAGCCGCTGCCGCTGCCGCCCACCCCGCCCGTGGGGGGACACGCGGGGCCGAGCCGGGGGTGGGACAGGGGGGACAGGGACCCTGGGGACGGGATGTGACCCACGGGGGTGGGTACAGGATTTTGGGATGGTGTTGTGCCCCATGGATGTGGGTACAGGATTTTGGGATGGAGATGTGCCCCATGGATGTGGCCGTGTATCCATCCCAGATTTTACAGGGAAGGATGCAGGATGCTGGGATGGGGATGTGCCCCACAGGATTTGGGATGGGGTTGTGCCCCGTGGATATGGATGTAGGATTTTGGGATGGGGTTGTGCCCCACAGATACGGATGAAGGATTTTGGGATGGGGATGTGTCCCATGGATGTGGCTGTGAATCCCAGATCTTACAAGGAAAGGTGCAGGATTTTGGGATGGGACTGTGCCCCATGGATGTGGCTGTGAATCCCAGATCTTACAAGGAAAGGTGCAGGATTTTGGGATGGGACTGTGCCCCATGGATGTGGCCCTTGGCCCCAGATTTTGTAGGGAATGATTTGCGATGCTGGAATGGGGCTGTGATCCCATGGATGTGGATGCAGGATTTTGGGATGGGGATGTGCCCCATGGATGTGGGTACAGGATTTTGGGATGGGGCTGTGATCCCATGGCTGTGACCCTGCATCCCAGATTTTATAGGGAAAGGTGCAGGATGCTGGAATGGGGCTGTGACCCCACAGATGTGTCCCTGCATCCCAGATTTTAGATCCCGGGTTGGGAGAGTGGTCCTGGGGATCTCCACGCTGCTCCCAGCGGGAAGATCACCCCAAACCAGGGAGGTTTGTAGGGTTTCCCCTGGTGCCATGGGGCAGCTCACGGTTGTCACCCGCCCCGATGTTCGGTGTCACCTTCTGCCGGTGTGACAGTGGCGCTGGAGCTGCAGCCAAGGTGAGGCTCTCCTAATTAGCAGGGATGCTCATTAGGGAGAGCAGGAACCTGGCCTGCAGGTGTGACACCAGGGCAGCGAGCCCAACCCCTCAAACCCCAGTTTGGGGGTCAAGGGACCTTAAATCCCTTAAATCCCTTAAATCCCTTAAATCCATCCCATTCCATGGGCAGGGACACCTTCCCCCACCCTGCTCCAGCCTGGCCCTGGACACTTCCAGGGGATTCTCTGGGAATTTCATCCCAGCCCCTGCCCACCCTCCCAGCCAAGAATTCCTTCCCACATTCAGCATCACTCCAACCAAAACCCCCCAAACCCACCAACCCCCCAAAAACATTGTGAGAATTGTTCCCAAGCAAAGAAATTTTGCTGCTGGTTGGAGGAAGGCGAGGATGGATCAGGGAGAGGCTCGAGGTCCCTTGTGAATGATTTTATTTCCACTGCTGCAGGGAGTGGGAGTGAAAACCCCATAAAGTTGCCGGGTCGGGAGGTACACGTGGCTCTAGGAATATCTGTACATTCTACCAGTCTATATACACATCAGATATAAATATATATCAATCCAGGGGGGGAAAATTCGTCCGGGTTTAGGGTTGAAACCTGTCCCATCCAACTGCAGGGAGAGCTGGAAAGGAGATTTTATCGTCAGAAAAAAAAAAAAAAAAGAATAAAAATCATTAATTAGCACGAGGTTTTAATTAATGGGGAAAAGGGGAGCATCCCTGTGCCAGCCGCAGGGGGAAGGACACGGTGCCCGTCCGTGGCCACCCCAGGAAGGGTCAGCTCTGCTGGCTGGACACAAAGGAGCTTTCTTTGGTTTATTTAATACTCATTGCAGTTGGATTTTGATTTTTTTTTTCCCTCTCTAATGCTCGGCCTTTAAATCCAAATCCTGAGACTCAGGAAGAAAAGAAGAGAATAATCCCCCCTAAACCCGGACACCCGATAAATGCAGGTACAGCTACGGAAGGGGAAGCAATACATGTGAGGATGGGGAAGAGAAGGGATAAAAATAGCTCTTCCAAAGGATAATTCTTCCCTTTTCTTTCCCCTTCCTTTTATTTCTAATAAAAAAGGCAAAACCCAGTCGTGTGTGATTGGCTCCAGAGAGAAACTGAGCCGTGGATGTGGCCCTGAATCCTCAGATCTCAGAGGGAAGGATTCAGGATTTTGGGATGGGCTGTGACCCCACAGATGTGTCCCTGTACCCTCAGATTTTACAGGGGAGGATTCAGGATTTTGGGATGGGGCTGTGACCCCATGGATGTGTCTGTGTCCCCCCCAGCTCAGAGGGAAGGATTCAGGATTTTGGGGTGGGGCTGTGACCCCATGGATCGCTGCTGGGATGGGGGATTTGAAGCCGGGCAGGGCCTGGTCTTGCCCAGGGGGGTGTGGGAAGGTGTGGCCCACACAGGATCCAGGATCCCCTCCCTGCTCCATCCCAGCAAATCCCCAGCTCCAGGAGGAATTTCGATCCTCCCGCTCCAGAGAAATGCGGAGCCAAAGCTCTCCAGAAGAGCCAGGGTGACAGGAGTGTCCCCATCCCTTGTGATGGCCACATTGTCCATCCTCCTTCCACTTCCGGCTCCAAAATCCACCGGGAACCGTCCCCAGGAGCAGGGACACGCCCCCAGCCCCATCCGGACCGAACCCAAACCCCCCGAACTCTGCCGGGTGCCAAGGGAGAGACGGAGCCGGCTCCGGGCTTGGCCTGGGGGACAAGGACAAGGGTGGCAGCCGGGACAGGAGTGTCCCCAGGGAGCCACGAGTGTCCTGCAGGGGAGGAAAAGGGACGGGGAGAGGGATGGAGGAGAGCAGAGAGCAGGGGGAGAGGGAGGAGAGAGGGTCCCACGTGTCAAACGCCGCCGGGGGATAGTGGGGGGAAATGTCCGAGTTAAGCCGGGCCTGGGAGAGGCAGGACGGGACTAAAACACCACGGACTGGAGCAGGCGGAAACACAGCATGAGATCCAGAGGGATGGGAGGCTTGAGCAGGTTCCCGTCCAGCCGCAGGTAACGCAGCCGGGGCACGCTGTCCAGGTCGGAGGGCGAGAAATCCTGGATGGACATCAGCGAGGTGGGGCAGATCTGAGTGCCGTTGATTTCTGTGGGAGAGGAGGAAGAGCGGGAATGGGGGTTAGGAAATTGGGAATGTCGGGAGGAATAGGGAATGTGGAGAGGAGGAACAGCAGGATGAGGGAAGAGGGAATGTGGAGAGGAGGAACAGCAGGATGAGGGAAGAGGGAATGTGGAGAGGAATGGGGAATGTGGAGAGGAATGGGGAATGTGGATGGGAGGAACAGCGGGAATGGGGGTTAGGGAATGGGGAATGTGGGGAGGAATAGGGAATGTGGAGAGGAGGAAGAGGGGAATGGGGGTTAGGGAATGGGGAATGTCGGGAGGAATAGGGAATGTAGAGAGGAATGTGGAATGTGGGGAGGAATAGGGAATGTGGGGAGGAGAAACAGCAGGATGAGGGAACAGGGAATGTGGAGAGGAGGAACAGCGGAATGAGGGTTAGGGAAGGGGGAATGTGGAGAGGAATAGGGAATATGGAGAGAAGGAACAGCGGGAATGGGTGTAAGGGAATAGGGAATGTGGATGGGAGGAACAGCGGGATGAGGGTTAGGGAAGGGGGAATGTGGAGAGGAATAGGGAATATGGAGAGAAGGAACAGCGGGAATGGGTGTTAGGGAATGGGGAATGTGGATGGGAGGAACAGCGGGATGAGGGTTAGGGAAAAGGGAATTTTGGCAGGAGGAACAGTGGGATATGGGTTTGGGAAAAGGGAATGTGGAGAGATGGAACAGCGGGATGCAGGTGAGGGAACAGGAAATGTGGAGTGGTGGAATGGCAGGATGTGGGTTAAGGGAAAGGGAATTTTGGCAGAAGGAACAGCGGGATACAGGTGAGGGAAAAGGGGAATGTGGGCAGGGATTTTTGAACCCCCGCTGTTATTGAACCCCAAATTTGGGTTGTTTTGCCACCAAAAGGGACAATCCCAGCCTGTTCCCAAAGCCCCAGAGAGAGGGAAAATCTGGCTTTTGATCAGGAGCGAAGTAGGTCACGCTCCTCCGGAGCTCGGCGAGGGATGCGGTGACATTCCAGAGAGAAAAGGAATCATCCCGCTCCCGGAACCTGCCGAGCCGGCCCCGAGCTTCCCAAAAAAACATCAAGGAATCCCGCTCCAGCCCCGTCACACCGGAGAGAACGTCAGCACCCGGCTCGTTGCTCTCCTCTGGAATTCCACGTGTCCCTGCCCAGCCGGGAATGGAAAATAAACCCCGGGATTCTGATGTCAGCACCCGGCTCCAGGGATGGGAACCTTCTAAAAACCAGGCTGAGGAAAAGCTGGGTCAGGGCGTGCACGGGATTTCTCTCCATGGAAAACGCCGGCAGGACCTGGATACCGGGGATGTGGGAAACCACCAGGAGTCACCACCTGCACTCCAAGGTCCCCCCGGGCTCAAATTTGGTGGTGTTTAATTAAAATTCGGGTTAATGAGCGTTGGAGCCAGATGTGATCACAGCAGGAGCTCCAACAGCGGAAACATATGGGGAGACCTGGAATCCTGGAATATTGGAATCCTGGGATGGTTTGGGTTGGAAGGGACCGTAAAGATCACCCAGGGACACCTTCCCACTGTCCCAGGGTGTCCCAGCCCCAATGTCCAGCCCGGCCTTGGGCACTCCCAGGGATCCAGGGGCAGCCACAGCTGCTCTGGGAATTCCATCCCAGCCAGGAATTCCTTCCCAATAAAATATCCCATCCAGCCCTGCCCTCTGGCAGTGGGAATCCATTCCCCGTGTCCTGCTCCTCCACCCCTCATCCCAAATCCATCTCCAGCTCTCCCGGAGCCCCTTTAGGCGTTGGAAAGCTGGATGGGAATTCGGTGGGATTCTGCAGGCTCCTCTCCCGTGGAATTGCAGCTGGATTTCCCTGGAATGGTGTGGAACAGCCCTGGCTGCTCTGCCTCCATGGCAGCCGTGCTCTCCCCGTTCCTTCCCCCCTTCCGGAGCAGAGCTGGGATATTCCCTCACCACCCCCAGCTGCGCCTTTGGCATCTGCCCCTAAAACACGAGCCCAGGCTCTCCTCGTTAAATATCCCGATTTTGGCCAGGGAAAGAGCTCTTCCAAGGGCAGCTGGCCCCAAAGAAGACAACCAGGAAAAATCCTGCAGCACCGGGAGGGATTTCACTCTGCTCCTCCCCTTCCACCCTTGCAGCTCCCACCTCATCCCTTTGAAGGGATCACATCCCGCCGGGTGAGAAACGGCTGGAAAACCTTTCCAAGGTTTTTCCTCTCCCCCCAAAAAAAACCCCCTCCCCATCCCAGCCGTGGGACTCACTCTCGATGGAGTTGTTGTTCAGGTAAAGGTGCTCCAGCTTGGGGCTGATGAAGGGCACGTTGGTGAGCTTGTTGTGCGCCAGGTGCAGCACCAGCAGGTTGGTGAGGTTGAAGGAATTTTTGGGCAGCCCCTTATCCGAGATCTGGTTGTAGTTGAGTCGGATGAAGGCCAGGTTGGGAAACTCCTTGAAATAATCGCTGGGGATGTCCTCGATGTTGTTCCTGTCCAGGAAGAGCTGGTGGATGGCGCTGGGCACGCCGGGGGGCATCTTCCTCAGGATGTTGTGAGCCAGGTTGAGCTGCATGAGGTTCTTGAGCCCCTTGAAGGTGTTCTTGTTGAAGACACCATCGCTCAGCTTGTTGTGGTGCAGGTCCAGCAGCACCAGGTTCTCCAGCTTGTTGAAAACACCGGCGGGGATCCTGGAGATCTGATTCCTGCTGAGCCGCAGCTGCTCCAGGTTGGGCGGCAGAAAGGCGGGCACCTCCTTCAGCTGATTCCTCTCCATGTAGAGGAAAATGAGATTTTCCAGCTTCTCCAGCACCTTCCTGTCCACCTTGCGGATGCGGTTGTTGTCCAGGTTGACCCATTTGAGGCCGGTGGCGTTGCGGAAGGACTCCTCGGGCAGGTCGGCGATGAAGTTGTTCTGCAGGTACAGGTAGTGGATGCGGGGCGGGATCACGGGCACCGTGCGCAGGTTGCGGCTGTCGCAGTACAGCGCCGACGGGAAATCGGGCGGGCAGTAACACTCCCGGGGACAGTCGGGGAAGATGGAAGGAGGGCCCGGAGGGAGGGGAGGGGGCAGCTCCGTGGGCTCCGCGGGCTCCTCGAAGGGTGCGGGAGGCCGGGTGGGTCTGCGGGGGGGTTTCCGGCGCTGCCCGCTCGCCACCGGTGCCAGGGCGAGTGCCAGAGGGAGGAGGAGCGCCAGCGCCGCCTTCATGGTCCGGGTGTTTTCCTGCAGGGACACGAGGAGAGGGGGTTTGGGAAGGGGTTGGTGGAGGAATTGGGGTTGGGAAGGGCTTGGTGGAGGAATTGGGGTTGGGAAGGGCTTGGTGGAGGAATTGTCACCTCCCCACCCTCATCCCCTGTGTTCCTCTTCCTGTTGGAAGTCGCCTTCAAATCCAGCCCCTCTCTAGAGCAGGAGTCCCTATCCCTGTTATCCATGGAATTCCTGGCCCTGACTCACCATTATCCACAGGATCCCTTTGGCTCACCATTATCCATGAGATCCCTCTCTCGTTCACCATTATCCATGGGATCCCTCTGGCTCATCACTATCCATGGAATTCCTCTCCCTTCCTCATCATTATCCATGGGATTCTTCTCCCTGCCCCACCATTATCCATGGAATTCCTCTCCCTGCCTCGCCATTATTCACAGGATCCCTTTGGCTCACCATTATCCATGAAGAAAATCCAAGGAAGAAGGGAAATGGACTGGGAAGTGCTGCTGATTTTGTGACACTTTTGGAGGGAAATCCAGCACAGCAGAGTGGGATTCTCTGCCCCTCCTCCCTTTCCAGCCCATTTCCAGCTCTCCCCACACCTGGAACCCAAAATTTCCATCATCCCTGGAGAGGGAAAAGCCCCCACCCAAGCCGGGAGCAGCAGGAGCAGCCCACACCAACCCCTGCTGCTTCCCAGCGGGATCTGCATCCCACCCTGCACGGACCACCCTCTTCCAGGGCCACCTCTGCCAGCTCCAGCTCCCTTTGAAGCGATCCCTCTCTTTCCTGAGGCTCCAAGGAATTGATTTTCTCCAGGAAAAAAAAAATCCCGTTTTCACCCTCCCCTGCAGGCCCAGCCTGTTCCTCCCGGCTCCATCTGGCTCTGGTTAACCCCGAGCCGGCTGCTTTCCATCAGGGCTCTGGCATCTCGCTGGGGGAAGGGAGGAGCCCAGAGCTGCCGGATCCTGAGCCCAGCAGAGCTGCAGCAGGTCCTGCTTGGGGATGGATGTGATCCTGTCCCCCACATTCCGGATTCAGTGTCTGGAAAACGGGAAAATTGGGATCTGCTGTTCGTGCAGTGCTCTTCCCATTCCGTCAGCATCCTGCTCCTTCCCCGGCCACAGCACACGGATCTCGCTCCGTGTTGTTCCAGAACTTCCCATGAGGTCCCAGAAATTTCTATGGGGTCCCAGAGCTTTCCCTGAGGTCCCAGAGCTTTCCCTGAGGTCCCAGAACTTCCCATGGAGTTTTTCCTCTGCTCCAGAACCTGGATTTTAACCCCCACAAACACCCGAGGTGGGCTGAGGTCTGAGCTTGGGTGCAGAGGTGGGGAAGCAGCTGGGAGGTGACATTCGAGCTGGGAGGTGACATTCGAGCTGGGAGGTGACATTCCATCCAGGACACAATATTCCAGCCGGGACACGCTGTGATGCAGGCCTTGGATCCCCTCGGGCCACCCAACAATGTCCCAGCAGGGTGTGGGGACAGGGCAGCGCTGTCACCCCGTCCCCTCCACACGAGGATTTGACATCCCAGATGTTTGGGGACTCGGCACGGAGCGGGAAGAGCCACCAGAGCCAGGAATCCCGGCTGGAGGGTGACAACATCCTGTGGAATTCCGTCAGCACGGACGGGCAGGGGTGGGAGGCTGAGGCCGCCCCTTTTATCCGCCCCACATCCCCGCGGGGACTGTCCCTGCCCCGTGGCAGTGCCACCACCCTTCCCCGACTGCCACCACCCTTCCCCGATGCCCGCCTGGGGAAAGAAGGACTCACTTCTAAGAAAACTGCAGGAAAGCAGTGACATTCCCAAAAAAACAAACAACAAAAAACGGGGATGCAGCGAGCCCGAGGCCGCCACAAGCTCCACGATCTCCTCCAACCCGCTGGAAGATTCCAAGCCAGCTCTCCCTGGATGTGGAAAAGCTGGAAGTCTGTTCTCCATCCAGTTGGATTTACTGGCATTGAATGCCAGGAGCTGAATTCCCAAATCCCACTCCCTGATCCCCAGCACAGCCCCAGCCCTGCCAAGCTCCCCTCCCGAGCTTCACGGCCGGGACAGCTCCAATTCCAGCTGCCCACAAGGAATCCGCGCCACTGGAACAAAGTTAAGTCATGGAGCAACGGAGGAATTCAGGAAACCGACGGCCCTGGAGTAGAAAAAAGGCTCAATTCATGGATAAAACCAGTCCTGACACCTCCCAAGCCGCTGAGCTCGGCCTGGCTGCAACACCAAGGCACCCAACAAATCCCGAGGTTTTTCCCAGAAGGAGGCAGCTGCTTCCTCAGCCGTGCCGGTTACAATGGACAAAAAAAAAAAAAAAAATTAAAAATAAATCAGCGCAACAGCTGGAAATTCCAGCCCTGAATGCCACTGGGGTTTGCTTTGCACATAGTTTCTCTTCCCTGCATCCCACTAAACCCCCAGCTCCCAGCAGCGCTGGCTGCCAGCCCCGGGATGGGCGCCAAGGGCAGGGAGAAGCCGCCACCCCGGGGCGAGAGGGAGCCGTGCAAAGGTCGCCGCAGAGGGGGATTTGTCACCGGCAGAAGCCCCCGCGCTGTCCCTCGGGTTCCTCCCGCAGCGCTCAGGGCAGAGGGAGCAGCTGGATCCGGATATTTGTCCGAGATCCCGCTCCTGCAGAGGGATAAAGGGAATTTTAACTCTGGGAGAGGCAGGAAAAGCCTGGATGGTTGGGGTAGGGCCTCTTTCCAGCTCGTTGTTAGCTCCTCTCGCACATTCCAGCAATTCCCGATACCCCTGGTGGGGGAGAAGCCCCCTTGCAGCCTGGGAACGGGAATGTCGGGGAGCGAGATAAAAATAACCACAAGGATCGGGCAAAGCTCCTTCCTTGGCTTCCCTCGCGTCCAGCACCGCTCGTGTCTCTGCGAGAGCCCGACCCAGCACGGAGCTCCTTATCCAGCGGCTCTGGAGCGCTGGGAATCGTGGAAAAGGGGGAGGGCAGCCGGGCTGTCACCCAGGCGTCGCCGGGGTCCCTTGGGAAGCGCAGCCCTGATGTAACAACCCCGCGGTTCTCGGCCTTTCCCAGCCCTTTCTCAGCCGGCAGCGGAGCCGGGCTGGAGCCGGGACATTCCCTCTGGGAATGCGCTGGGTCCAGGCAGGGATGGGTGACACCCGCCAGGACTCGGCCAGGACACGGCGACAGCAGCACGGGGCTGTGCCAGGAGGGTCCTCGCAGTCCCCGGGATTATTCCCAAATCCTCATCCCGTCCTCTGCTCCCAGATCCCCACAGTCCCCAGGATCGTTCCCTGGGTCCTCTGTTGGTCCCTACAGTCCCTGGGATCATTCCCGAAGCCTCATCCCCTCCTCTGCTCATCCCCACAATTCCCAGGATTATTCCCAAAGGTTCATCCCGTTCTTTGCTCCCAGATCCCCACAGTCCCCGGGATCATTCCCAGAGTCCTCTTCTGGTCTCTACAGTCCCCGGGATCATTCCCGAAGCCTCATCCCCTCCTCTGCTGGTCCCCACAATTCCCAGGATCATTCCCGAAATCTCATCCCCTCCTCTGCTGGTCCCCACAATTCCCAGGATCATTCCCGAAATCTCATTCCCTCCTCTGCTCCCTCCTCCCGCAGCAGCTCCCTGCCCCTGGCAGGGCGCATTTCCCGCTGCTCCCTCGGTGTCAGCAATTCCTCCTTCCCTGCGTGTCCCGACCCTTCCCAGCGCCGCTCCCGGCTCGGATCCCGCTGCCTCACGCAGTGGGAACGGCTGGACAGGGACAAAAGCGGATCCTGGCAGGAGCCGCTGCCAAAGCGCCGCCGGCCCGGACCCCACACACGCCCCGCTCGCCCCCCCAAGCCGCTGCCTCGCCCCGTTCCTCTTCTCCCTCGGGCTGGGAAACGGCTCCGACGCCTCATTCCCTCCTCTGCAGCCTCTTCCAAGGGCACGGGAAAGCTCCCACGGCTGCGCTTTGATCTCTTCCCGGCTGGAAGCGCTGATCCCTCATTCCCCGGGGAGCAGGGACAGCATTCCCGCATTTTGGGTGTCCCAGGGAAGGACGCTGCGCTTCCCGGGAGGCGGCTCTGGGATGTGGTGGGAGCCACACTGGGATCCCAAGATCCCAGAATCGCAGGATCCCAGGGAAGTTTCCGATCCCTCACGTGCCAGGGGGATGGATTCCCATGTTTCCCTTTGGAGCTGCTTTTCCCTAAACCTCTCCAGCCGGCGGGGAAGGGCAAGTTTGGGACGAGCCTTTTCCAAGTAACAAAAATTCTTTTTTCCCAGGATTTCGGCGAACATCGCTTCCCGCTTCTTCCTCCCATCGTCTCCTGGCGGAGCGGGGACAAAGAGGGGGCTCCAAACGGGACCCCCGAGGGGGGCGCGGGGAGGGGGCTGCACCTCCCCGCCCACCTGGAAAACTGGGATTGCATCCCCTGGGAATGTTCAGTGCGATCCAGACAGGAAAGAAGGGCTTTACCACCTACATTTTGGGCAGAAAAGCAGCGGCCCTGGAGCTGTCGGGATGTTCACTCCCACCCCACTCCGGTCCCTTCCCAAATTCCCTGTTCCCATTCCGGCGCAGGGAGATGGGAGCAGCCCCCCAGAGCCCCCCCCCCCCAGCTCCGTGCTCAGCCCCAGGCAGGACAAGGTGTCCCGATGTCCCCAAAGTCCCGATGTCCTGGTGACATTCCTGGCTCCGGAGGGGTCCCTCCTCCTCTCAGCCTCTCCCTTTCCTCCTTTGTTTTCCCAAGGCGGGGGATGTTCCTGGCCATGGCCGGGGCTCTGCAGCCCCCACGGCTCCCCCAGTTCCGGCCCCCGGCGCCCCCAGTTTGGGCTCTGAGCCAAAGGTGCTGGGGACACACAAAGGGCACCTCAGCGTCCCCCAAAAAGCGCCTGGCAGCGCTGTCACACCCCCCGGGCTTCCCTGTGACCCCACAGCCCCCAAATCCCCCCCTCCTCCACCCCACGGCGAGAGAAACTCCTGGAACCGGAGCGGAGGGAAAGAACAAAGACTCCAGAGCGCTGCGGGACAGAAGAACCAAGAGGAGAGGGGGGAGAAGAGGAAGAGCAGATGTTTTTGGGGATGGGAGGGAGGCTGGAGAGGGCAGAGCATCGTGGCGTCCTGGGTGGGAGGCTCAGGCAAGGTGAGAAGAGCCTGGGGGGGAAACACCTGCCCAGAGCTTACCTGTGTGCACCTCTCCCTCCTCCTGCCTCCTATTAATCCCCAAGACAAGTTTCTCTCTGGTTTCTCTCTCCCTCCTCCTCCTCCTCCTCCTCTCCGCTCCGCCACGAGCGAGCCCGGCCGGGGCGCGGGGGTTTTGTTGCTGGGAGCGGTGGGAGCTCGGGGGGGCGGAGGGCTGGGAGGGCTGGGAGCACTGGGAGGGAGGGCTGGGAGCACTGGGAGGGCTGGGAGCACTGGGAGGGCTGGGAGGGCTGGG